TCTTTCATTTCCCGTTGTATGATTTATTGGTGTAATTATTGATTTATAATTTTAGTAAGTATCTCGGTCGATTTCTTTAATTGACATTATTATAATCGTCAGTCTAACTATTAATTCATACAAGCTCGTCATTAAATGTGCCAAGCCAGAATTCTAAAATCCTGGGAAATCTCACCATGTTAAAACTGACCATTAAAACAAACCAGATCAACATTGGTGATTTCTTGTTTAGGGGATACAAGTGAAAAAATAGAACACCCGACCTTTTCTATTTGGATTAGTTCGGGAAACTACGATATTAATTTTAATTTATTATTTGTTGTTTGTGCTACGACACAAAAGTTTTCTCCACATTTCTTGCGTAAATCATCATCGTTATTCATTTATCAAAATTAACTGTTGGGGTGGGGGGAGGTCAATCAAACGCACGTTGTACACAGATTCATCTCTTTCGCTTTTTTTCTATCGTGAGATTTTTTTCTAAAATTTGCTTATTCAAAATGGGTTAAAAGAGAAGATAGGATGGTGAAAAGGGATTACTTATCGATCAATCATTAATATCTCACTTTCATTAACGTTAATTAATTTTGATGGCTATAGATTAATAAAAAAATTTGTTTCTGCACGTTTCCATAAACAAAATCGGAAAAAATGCCTTTCTTCGCGCTCAGAATTTTATTAAAACTTTAAATGTGTGTAAAACGTTGAGGGGCTGTATGGAATCATTTTTCCCCACGTTTATACGAAATAAGGAAGTTATTCTATAATGCACGACAATTATATAATATGTATGTGTTATGAACATAAAATAGTATAATTTGTGGCTAATGCATGTGCATGGAATTTACTAATAAGATAGTGCATGTAGTACCTACACGGACGAGACTGATTATTACAGAGCATGTCGTTGCAAACAATGACCACGTCGCGCTCATCACTCGTAAGAGTCGAACAAGCATCCGAAAGGTCAAATTCCAAGTTGGTAATTTAGTGGTAATCCTGTCTTTTACTGAAGTAATATCACGCGAGCATCTACCAAGCCAATCGCAAAGATCAAGTGTAACATACGACCCCTAAATATGATAAATTTTCTAGCGATTTAGCGTTCCCCCAAATAAAGGAATCCAGGAGTATCGGACTGTGTTATTAGTTACTTATTATCGTCGTCGTTGGCGTAGCAGTTACATACTAAAACATGTAATCGGAAAATCTTTACTCAACCTCCGATTGTGATATTTGGTTAAAAAATCTTTTATTCCATTACGATACGCGATATACCTAATTTTGATTGCCTCTATGCTTGTTGAATGAAAACTTCCAAACACAGTCTTAAATATATAAAATGAGAATTAAGAAAACGAACAGTTGACTATAATATTTTTCTTTATTTGGGCAAGTGATTCACGTGCACTTTTTAGCTGTGATTTACGTTTAGAAGGTTTAGGCATATTCGAGTTTAAAAAGATTCAGCATTAAAACTATCGCAAAGAACCATAATACGAAAGTATTTCTTTGAAGTTGCAGTTTATACTGTATTTACAAAAATATTTATTTTTAGTTTAGACATATATATCGTTAGCAAAAGCGAAGTTCTTCCTAATACATGTACAACAATTAATTAATTAAATTCTTGGACTGTAATAGTTAGGTACATGTATATAAAATGAAACAATTAAAGCGTTTAATAATAATATTAATATTAAACCTCACATAATTTTTGATTTAATAATAGTATGATACATGGACATGTATTTGAAATACCCTGTACATGTACATGTGGAACATGTCTGCATACATAAATTAGAAATGATGTGAAAATCGATTCCGGAACTTGTATGCCGACATTGCACAATATATACATGTTCATAAACAAGAGAGACCAGCACAATGAACAACGAGATTCCGAGACTTTAATATTCAATGTTCTAAAGTTCCACAAAATGGAAAATTTTTTTTACACAATGTACATGTATCAAATTTCTATAATGAGTGAATGATGGAATAATAAGATTCTGTCAAACACAATCAATGTTTAGAAACTCTGAAGTTGTCGGTTTGCTTCAGCCAATCGTACAATACAAATAGCATTTAAATGTCGTATATGTATGATAACTAAGATGCTTTCAAATATTTCCTTATGATATTTTCGTGATATATATAAATGCACCATTACTTGTGAATCTTTTGATCCGAATAAGTAAAAATGTTCTTACAACAGAGAAAATAATGAATACATGTGATTATATTCATTTTAGAAAATTAATTGTAAGTTTACTGTACGCCTTTGTTGTTATATTTACAAATGATTTATCATTCATCAATATTCTAAAGAGAAGGCATTTTATCTTGTAAAGGAATCTCACGGCAAGTTGCTTAATTTGTTGTTCATTTATCTTAAATATCGTTATCTTTTTACATAAAGACTGAACAGAATTCACTGTGTAAGGGTGTTGATTATGAAAACTTTTTCAATGAACTTAGTGCATATGCATCATCTTGTTTACATAAGGAAATGGTCTTGAAAAAATTTTCAACTGATTTGCATATTTTACTGTAATTTAAATTAAAATAATGTAGAATTTAATACATGATTCTATATTGGGCAAATTAGCATTTTCAGTAATACATATTGTTATAATGATTTCAAACAAATTTAATATCTTTTTTAAATTTAGTAGAAAAGAAAAGGAAAGTAGCAAAAAAATGCGCTTATATCAACAGAACTAAATAGATTTGCTCGGAATAAAAGTTATTTTAAATAGCTTACATAAAAGTTTATATCTAGGTCAAATTTTGATAATTATTTAAACGATTGATAACTTTACATCAAAATTTTTGGTTGGGTTTGTTCCTCAAATTTCAAAGATTTATAGTGACAGCCGCAGTCATAATATAGACAACTTTCTCTAAATGCAAATTCTTTTTAAATATTATGCTTATAATTATTATGCTTCCCTATAAATACCATTTCTACCTAAACGCATCTAGCATATGAATTGCATTTAGGGAGAGCTATTTGCAATATTTTTTTAAATTAAAAAAGATCGTGAGATTCAAATTAATTATTTTGCCATTTTGTAATATGAATTTAAAATTGAATAAATGTATTCATCTAACAACTATATACAGTACATGCATATGTAGTATTAATTTAATTGATTAAATCAGTAATTATGAAGAAATTACTGAATAAAATTTAATTCAAATTTTGTATGGCAAAAACTATGAAATCCAATAAAGTGATTATTCAAAAAGATAGATGTAATAGTAATCAAGTAATATGCATTAATTTTATAGTAAAATGCAGACATTTCAATTGAAAACTTTGATATAAG